GTTTTGCTTTCTTTAACCCCTTCCTACACTGACAATGCTGGCAGATTTGTCTTATTTAGTCAGATTTGTCAGTATTTAGTACAGTGGCTGAAGGTTCATCAGGGTGTCCCGAGGTCAACCTCTCACCAGCCAATATGGTTTGCATTTTATGTTTCTGTGGACATCACCACTTTTCAGTTTGGCTGCTGTCAGCCAGGGCCTTGTTGTTATTTAGGACCCTGTTGGAATAGACCCAACCAACACTAGACAAGTGAGAAAATGTCTGCTCCATAAAGCTTACAGATTACTAGGTTCTCAGAGCAGCACCTAGATTCATGGTTTGAAGTTAGCAAGGGAGAATAGGAGAAATAAATACCTACTTTTCAAAACAATTATCTACCTGCTGTTCCCACTTCTTGATCTTCATTCTGGTTGTTTTTCTTTCTCTTGGACTGAACTCCCTCTATTCACTCTCCGAGCCTGCCCCAGTGCTAACGCTCTAATGTAGTGGTGTGTATCCATCGTGGGCTTGTGCAGATGTTGGTGAGAGTCTGTGCTTGCTGACCTTCAGGCTGTGCCCGGGAGCACAGACAAGCAGGCATCAGCAAAAGGTCTCAGAATTGCACAAAGTTACTCTTTACAAAGTCAGTCCAGTTCTTCATTAGTGACCAAGAGTTTTTGCAGCATTACAAACTTTGGGGAAGCATCTATAACCTTCTGCTGACCAAATGACCAGAAAAATATCTCATTTTATAGGAAACAGCTCTTTCAATGAACCATGCCACTTTTGTTCCCTTATGTCCACTTTGTCACATTCCTGCTAACAAGAGACTTTTATATATATTTACACTAACAAGACAGAATGCCAAGCATACTCAAAAAGTAATTTGGGAGATTTAGTTTTACTGGGTTCCCTTTTACAGACTTTGAATATATCACTTCTCCTCCAGCTGTGAAAAGACTCCCTGTGCATAAGTTGCCATCTCAGGAGGTCTCAGTCTACAACTCCTAATACTGGCTGGCAATATTAGACAAAAGCCACTGTCTAATGAAGAAATTACACTTAAAAGAAAAAAAAAAAAAAAGGCAAATCACAGGGGCTACAGTATTACTTCAGTGATGCATAGAAAGGAAAGGACAAATAATATATATTCCAATGTGACAAAGCTTGTAGTCTGTAAACTATGTTACTATCTATCCTGGTTATAGTTAATTTGTCTGTTTTGGGTGAGTGATGCTTGAAGCTCAGACCACACAAGGTGGTGCCAGTGTGTGTGGCATTAATGCTGGAGGCTTGCTTTTGCCACAGGATTCCACTATACTTCAATGCAGTTCTGAGAAGCTAGGTTTGCTGGTGTGATGTTAACATGGAACAGGAAGGATTGAATGTGAGTTTTAATCTGCCTGTGTGTGATCAGCCTGAGCAAGAAAAGACATCAGGCCGGAGATCAGTGGAACTATGAACAAGAACTTCCTGGTTTCTACTCAACTTTACATCTTGTAGGTAGTGACTTGTCTATGAATTTTTTACCAGAAAGCAGGAGGTAGACTGACAAAAGATTTTGCAACAGTTTATTTTCCAGTCTGAACACTTTCTCCCATCTGGTTTACAACACAGCTTCCCAAACACTTGAATAGCCTGAGAGGAAGGTGAAGCATGCTGTGGAGATTGGAGGAAGGAGGAGAGGAAATGGGAATATTCATATCTGGTTTTGCTCCTGAAAGGGAAAATGAACCTGCAGTAGAGAGTAAAAGGCAGAAAAATCACAACCAAATTGGAAACAGTCTGTTGCCAAAAATTTAAATAAAGGGTTGGTTTTGGTTTTTAAAAAACAGTATTTTTAAAAATACTGTCAATATAACTTATTCTCTGTAAAGTTTTCATTCTGTCAGAAGTCATGTCCATTCCCAATTTGGAGGGAAAGATAAAAAATAAAATGCTCTTTGTTTATGACAGGTAGAATTTGTGGGCTTGCATAGAGGTACCTTCAGGCAGCTGTTCCATGAGTCTGACAATAAGCATGCAGTCTGTAGCCCTGGTTGTTTGGAAATGTGACAAATTGGAGAGGGCCCGTTTTCTAAATGAGATGCTGTGGAAATGTATTGTTTTGACACAGTATTGTTCAGGAAGAAGGACTCACCTTCAAAAAAAGGAAAATAACTTGACAGTTGAAGCTCTCAGCTGGGATTTGTGAGACTTAGGTTTGAATTCCTACTTTTTCTGATTTAGCCTAAGGAATGGACTCAGTCTTTCCTAAAATCTAGTTTTAATGACCTATCTAAAAGACTATCAGCTATTTCAAAACCCACCTCTGCTCATCTGTTTCTGTCTTCCTCTTTTATTTTTTTTTCAGACCTTTTTTCCATTTTTTCATAATAATAGCAAAAAAAAAAAAAAAAGAAGGTAAATCCTTGGCTTTGTTCTGATGCAAGACAGGAATATGTTTTACATCTCAACATTTGCAGGACAGGGAATCAATTTTCTGCCCAGCTCTGTCTGGAATATAATTATGGCAATTTTAATATCCTTTAACTTTAATTCTTTTTATTGATCCTATTATTGACCTGTGTCTGCTTGTTACTGTGTAAATACTGGCAAAGAAACAGGTAAAAAAATAACAGTTATCAGGTGGCATCAGTAAAGTTTTTAATTTTTTTGTGAATGGAGAAGGAAAGAATGTTTTCTTCAGTGAAAGTCCAAATCTCTTCTGTTCAGTGTAATCTTCAGTCCCCAGTGTAATTGTACCCTTTCTTAGTGGCAAGAGTGTTCTATCTCTACTCTCAGATGCACACTGGTGTCTAAAAAAGTCTGTCATGGCCTAAAGAGTGAGAACTGGAGACATCATAAACCAAAAAAGGTTCTATGTCCATTTTGAAGCCATAATTTAGGATAAAAAAACCAGTAGAGGACACTGCAATGATTTCCATAGTGAGTTTGGGTTTGTTTTTCAAATATTACAACGGAATTAACTGTTTTACTGAATGGCTGCAGAAATCAGGGGTGGAAAGGAGATAGGATACCCTCACTCTGACTGTGGGTTTACACCTGATACAAGTTCTTGGCTGCATCTGGGCCATTTCTGAGCTTCTTAATTTCACCTGTCAGAGCATGTCTGGCATCCAGGACATTCACACCACAGTCCTTGGGTCCCATCTGTTTAAGTATGCTTTGTGCATGATTAAATGGGTAAAGGATAGATTGTCTTTGTCAAGCAACTTGGCAGATTGCTTCTCCTGCATGGTCAACATGAGAAAGAAATTTCTATGCCAGTGTATGCAGTCATACAGAGAGAAATGCACAGCTTTTTAGCTGAGATAGCCAAAGCCAGCTCTCCTCACAAAAACTAACTGCAACTAAGCTGTTGGTTTTGAGCAGGATTATTTTTCACTCATTTTATTCTAGTAGAGTTACCTCATGCAGGCAAAAGGTATTATCTCTTTAATAACTGATGAGTCAACCTGTTTGTTTTCATGGTGGAAGTGAATGGCTTTGATACAAGCAGTGTGTTGCGATTACAAATGAATGAAACAAATGAAGGCCAGGTCATATCCAGGGGCAAATCTTCAGAAGGGGTCTTTTTTGTTGCTCTGAGTTTTTGTTGCTACTGCCAGTACTTCTGATTCCCAGGTGCAGGTGTGGGAAGGTGGAGGGAGGCAAACTTTAGGGCAATGTAGCAGTTAAAGGGTGTGCAGTTCTATCCTGTGCTTGGTGTGCATGAAGACGGCCAGGATTGTGCCCTCTGCATCTGGCCTTGGGGTTGTATTAGGCATTGTTTGTGGGGAAAGCCAAGAATGATGTCTCAGCTGTGCTGGGACAGTCACAGGCCACAGCTCCAGTGCATCTGCAGTCAGTACAGGTCAGGTCTCTAATCACTGTACAGGCAGGACACAACAAATTGTAAAAAACAAAAAAAGGCTCTGAATTTTTGTGGTTCAAAAATACGTTTTTTTCTGAGACCGTGTGACAAAATATAAGATAAAATAATAACGAAAAACAACAGAGGCTTTCAGAGGAAACAAGGGATTAGGTTTGGTTGGAAGTTCAGAAAAAAAAAATGCTAAAAGTAAAGCCTACAGGCAATGAAATGAAAATCTGTTTGCCTCTCTGCAGGACCTCTGGGCTAGAGTGTAATCTCTATTAATGTCACATTACCTTCCAAGGATGGAATTTTAAAATTAACTCTTGTTAATTATTTTGTTTATTTTGCAAATTTACTTTCCATTCTTTGCTCCCATCATGAAAGATCTGTGAGTTGTGTGGTTTGATGTTCTTGCACATATGTTGTCTTAGTTTTGTCATTATGGACAGTAGAAAGAAAGTTTTGAAATCCAGATTCAGCTCGCTTTTGCATTTAGATATTTGGAAAAGAGTGGGAGAAGGAAAAGGGATTCCCTGAGATTTTTGGTTTTATATGGTGCTTGAACAAATCAAAACATGACAAATATCACGAGGAGAGGTGCAAATAGAAAATTTAAGTATCTTTTTAGAAAGCTGAAAAGGTTGGATATGAGTACATTCATACAACTTTACTTTCATGGAGCATAGATTACTTGGATGTGCCCAGGGATATTTTGAGCCTGGTCTGTCCTGACAAGCTTTATCCATAGACTTTGTCTTTTATAGTACTAATCTTCACACTCAGTTTAAAAACCTGAATTCAGCAGGTTGTCTGGTTTTCCACCATGCAGCTTAATACAGGCAATGACTCATAAAGCATTTTGCTTTAAGCAATGGTTTCCCTGAAAGGGGGAACACCAAAAACTTCAGAGTTGATTAATAGTCTCTTCCTAAATGTGTTCAAATTAAATAGATAAAAATGCACATTTTCTTGGATATCCTACTATATTTTGTAGGGCACAAGCAGGATCACATGAAAATAATACTTTATGGAACTGAAAATGTTTTGTTTTTTTTTTTCTTGGAGGGCAGTGGAGTTCATATTCGCTACATAATCAGAACAAGTATGTGTTTAATTACTGTGAAAGAGCTATCATGTGAATACTTATTTCATGTCTTTCAGGACTCTGACATCTTGGTGTGGGAAATTACTGCCCAAAATGTAACCACAGTGAGCACAAAATGTGTGGGACATACTGATCAATATGTGTTAGGAGTGGAAAGTATAGGTAATAGAAATTCCTTGCATCACACACAGATAAAAGAAAAGGGATTGGAGGATGTGTATGTCCAGGATTTCCATACCTTATAGAATCCTGTCAATGCTACTTCTCCAGCTGAGGTAATTAATAAGTATTCAATAAAAAAACCCCAACAACTGTGACATCAGTTTATCCCTTCACAGGCAAAGATTCTGCTTGAATGTCTCCTGTAGCCAATATCCCCTCAGCCCTGTTGGAGCTACCAAGGTAGCTTTTGCCAGAGCTGGAGGTACTGCCCTGGCTAGAGACATGTTTAAGATTCCCTTGGTGCATAAAGGACTTGAATTGATTTCTGTTAAATGCTTTAGTAAATAAAATTCTGTGCTTACACTGAAAAAGAAAACCACTGAGTCTGGGGTATGCCAGGGCTGGACGAAGCAGAAGCTGTAGTAACACTATTTAAAGCCACAGAAAAGCAAAATGTCTCTTTTCAAATTTTCTTTCTGGCCAGTGTTAGGCCATGATTGGTTTATTTTTATTTCTGTAGGAACAGGATGAGGCATGAGCTGTGAGACCAAAGGGCAAATAACCGTCTGTTTTAAACAGCAGAGGGTGATGAGGGACTTCTAATATACCTCATCTTAATTTGCTCTTTTAAGTGACCAGCTTGAGTGTTCAGGGTGCTTTCCTAGCTTGACTCTGCTAGTGTCTCATGAGCTCTCAGCTTCAACATGCATGATCTGTGGGACTTTTGTTCTCCTCTTTCATGATATTTTATTGATAAGAGTTATACCAGAATTTTGGGCAGTAGGTGGCTAGAGGCATGCATTCCAGCCCAAGGCAATTTAACCTCATGTCTCCTAGATCTGGTGAGAATCACCTTAACACGTAACTAAATTCGTAGCAGAGTGGATTATACTTGTAACCAATCCTTTGAAGTTATGTTCCTATGTATCAAAAAGTCCTATGAGCTATAAAGAAATGGAAGAATTTGTCTGCAGTCCTTGTGTGGTCACAAATGTATGTATTTTTGTCACAACTTTCTCTACCTAAGGAGGAAAGAAATCTGTAAATGGTTGCAGGCAGCCCAGACCTCTGCTTTGAAAATGAGTGCACTTAGCACCAGAGTAAATTAGCTCCCTAGGTTCTCACTCCTCCAGTGAGCTTGTGGCACAGCTTCAGCAGCTGCAGTAAAGGATGCCCCTACTGATAACCTCTAGCATGGTGATCACAGCCCTCAGCTTGGGAGTCAGAGAGATGAATGTGAGTTGCTCTGCTATGAAGTAGATTTTCCATTTCTAGATGAGCAGCTGTTTGTATAAAGATGGATCTCAGAATCATAAAATTATTTAAATGAAATCAGCTGAAGAGGTATGGTGACTTGATTTCCTAAGGAACATTATGTATTTTTGCTAGGTATGCACACCAATCTACTAGAAAGAGAGGGACAACCCAATTTTGACACTGATCTAGGCAATGTTTGCCTATGAATAATGACAAGGAAGTCAAGAACAGGTAGCCTGCATATTGAATTATAGCTCTTTTTTACACCTGTTCAATTTTTCACAATCACTATCTAATACCCAGGATGGATTTATCTGTCATTTCATTGCAGATAAATCTTTGGAGAGAGAAGTCTGTCTTCAGCAGGAGAGGCTAGCTCTTTTTAACTAAAGTCTCCCGTGGTATCAGCTTGCTTGACATTTCTGAAGAAGTGATTTGGTTTCAAGTAGAAAGGATTCTTTGGTTACCCATGCAACTGATGAACCCTAGGTGGTACACAAATATTTTTATCCTAATGATCAAAATGGATGGAAATATAGGATGAATTGTTTTTTTCACTCCCTGAAGATACTGGCTGAGACATACTGACATAACAGTACCAGTAGAAGCAGGTATTTAAGGGTGGATTTTTCATTTTTTAAAGAGGGGACTTTGGCTCTCAGTCTGTCCCTATTAAACCTGTTAAACTGCATTAGTGGCCAGAATGAAATAAAATTTTTCAATAAGACTTTAATATGGCTTTATACAATATTTTTTAAAAAGTCTAAGAACAGATTGGGTATTACTGTAAATGTGGAATGTTCTTTCTGAATTGAATTCTGACACGCAAAACAACATAAAATGTGTGGCTGTTTAATTCTGTAGGAGTTTTGCTATTGAGGCAGACAATAGGTGCATCCACCTTCCCCTTCCCCCAAGCCTAAACTGTGTGAATGACCTTAGGGAAAAAAACAATGCAGTTTGTACCAGCCTCAGTGAGAGGGGTGTAGCATCTTCACAGCAGGGTTGCCACAGCATGGGATAATACCTGGTGAACCCCAATTCCTTTATATAAATAACCACCCAGTAGAAGGCTGAGGTCCTTGAGGAAACCTTAATGCAGAAAAGAAGCATATGAGATATCTCAGCAAGATAATTTAACTGACTAAAACTTTAAAGTTTTTTCTTGTTGCAAACATTTTAATGACGGGTGTGATCACTTTTATATAATCCTTATAGTGCAGTTAAGATATTCAAACTATGGAATTGTTCAGGAATAATTATAAACACTTTTTTTACTGCTGCAACTTAATCTACTTTAAATTACTGGTACAGACTTAGTCTACCAGATTAAATAACACATACATATTAACTATGTAGGTAATTTGGCACTTCTCTCAAAACGGGTGGATAAATTCTAATGACTTTCATAAGAAGGATTCATTTTTTGGGAAGCCTGAACCAATCCATAAAGAGGTATTTAGAGTGATATAATTTGCAAAATCTCAGCATGTATAATTTTTTCTCATTCTGAAGCAAAGGGTGAATGGGAGGGAAAGCTTCCTCTCCACTTACAAAATAAATTCATTGCTATGAACTAAAAAGAAAAAAATAAGATTTTCAGTTCTAAAAAGGTCAAGTAAATAATTTATGTTAAGTCTTTACAGCAGCTCAAGGTGATCACTCAGTCTTTTCAAAGAGACAATCAACTCATGAGATGGATGTATTATCAGTAGGTTGATTTTGGGAAAAGTGCCACTCATCAACAAAACCCCTGAGACCCAAAAGAAATCAAAAAACCCCAGTAAATCAGACAAAAAACCCAACCAAATAAAAAAGTAACTGCCCAGTGGATAGAAGGATAACATATTATTACATCCACATATTATTCAGTTACAATGAAAAATTCAAAATTATGAAGCCAGTTGCCAAGATTTTGCAGAGCGGGTTAATTTTAAACACATGGGAAGAAAGCAGACTTTGTCACAAAATATCCTGTGAGCTTGCAGCCTGGCACCAGCTCCTGCTGTGCACAGCAGGAATTTCCCCTGCAAACTAGAGCACATACTCACAAGACACTAAAGCGGATCAGAATTCCTCCTGATCCCTCCTTGAGGAAAACATATTACCTCTGGCTTTGTCAAGAGGATATAGATCCATCCTGAAATGGGATTGAAAAAAGCATTTACAAGCAACAAGATAGGCATAGATTCAGTATTAAAGATGCTACTCCTGAGTTTGCTAGCAAAAAAATTCACCCAAGTAATTTGAGGACAACCAAAACATTCAAAGTTCTGTAAAGTCTTTCCCTTCCCTTCCCTTCCCTTCCCTTCCCTTCCCTTCCCTTTTGTTCTTTGTTTCCTTCCTTCTTTTTTCTGTAGAAATGTTGAAAAATCTATCATAGGTGAAAAATACTTTTTTTTCCCCCCTTGAGAATCAGCAAAATCCATACTTGTATTTTCAGCTACCTCAGAGGGAGATAAAGCGAAAGAGAATCCATGTCATGGCGAGAGTTGCAGTGAAAAAGTTGATAGATACTGCTGAACGTAATTTTGTCAGGCAGCAAAACTCACAGGTCAGACTGAGAAATGTATGAAAGAGTTTCTTCAGTGAGTCCTGTGGTACTGAAATCCCTCTAAGATCAGCCTTGAATTGGTGTTGGGGATCTTTGCAGTCACTGCAAAGTTTCCTGCTCACAGTGGTGGTGGTGCTGTATTTCTTCCTGGCTCTAGGTGTTTATATTACGTGTCTCTATGATACTTTTTGGAGAACCTCAAAGAGAATGGTTCAGGTCTGGCACAAACTTTGGCTTTAAACCTCTTCATACTGTTTTGTTTGTACCCTCACAAAAGGGTAGATTTGGTGTGAAGTGTTTATGCTCCTCCAGGTTTTCCTCTAATTTGTCACAATGTAGTGAAGACACTTCTGAAGTATGTTGTAGTCAGAATCTCCTGCTAAACCTACATGCCCTGGAAGAAATCACCAAAGAAAGGCTTACCTTGTCAGAGGAAGCTTCTTTGCTTTGGTTTATATCACAGGTGTTGTTAATTATTGGATCATTTCATTCAAGGCTCTCACACACCTCAATATTCAGCAGTGCAAGCTGCTTGGACAGCAGTGTTGCTGTTTTCCTTTTCCATCTGCTACTACTGGACATCTGGAAGACAAATCTAAATCTACAGCTAAAAATGAATGCCTTGATGTCAATCTGTATGTTCCTTTTTCAGGGATGTCCACGGCAAAAAAGGTCTGTCTAGAGAAAACAGGGGCAGAAAAACCCCTTTTGTTTTCAAATTTTTGGCCTAGTGTACTCTTTAACATAATTGTGGGACCGCCCAAAGGCATAAACATGTTTCACTTTTTCTCCTGAACCGAAAGCAGACCAATGCCAAATCACCCAGGAGAATCAAGACCTAGTTACCCATGTGATGCACAGATTGCTAGAACTTTTTGTTTACCTACTGAAAAGATTAGATCTGACATTAATTAATCAGCAGTGATTATTTCTGTTTAATATAACTCAACTTGAATATTTGGGGTTTTTTTTCTGTTTGAAACACTTGAAAAGAAAATTAGAAACTCCCATTGCTGGTTGCATGTGAAGCAAGATAATTGAACAGCTCAGAAAAGAGCCACAAACCATGACCCTATATTCACTTTGTCCCACTGGGTAAAGGTACTTAGACCTAACATTTTGATTCAGGCCCCATCTTTACTTTAAAGCTTCACTTGACTGCTTTAAACAGAAGACTGATTGCCTAGATGGATTTTCAGTGCTCCACAGCAGCAGTCTATTAACCTATTTAGATGGTATCTAAGGTAGTAATGAGATTAGAAACAAGAAAGGAAACTGGGAGGGGAGGGAAGTCAAGAAACTCAAAGCAGGTTAAAATTTTGGTACTTTTTGATGAAAGTACCAGAAATAAGAGTCAAATTGTCCTGCAAGTGAGTGTGTCCAGTTGATATGAAGTAATCATTTAAAGACATTCATGTACTATCTATAGTTCTGAAAGAGGCTAATGCCAAGATAACACAGAATTATTAGAAGATGTTATGCATTTCTCCCCAGTGGCATCTCCTCACAGACAAACTGCAGCTTTTGGGAGCACTCTGTATGCAATAAAACTAGTTTTTCTGGAATACAAATCTGTACTTTCCAAACTTTCACTAAGGACATTAAATACAAACTTCAACCGCTCCAGCAATTAAATTTTCATCAAACTCCCAATCTGACAGCCACTGCCCTTGGCCAGAGACGCTGTTCTGGTCTTCAGACAATCAAGCTCTACTTTCTCCAAGAGTACGTTTTGTTTCAGAGCTATGTTGTCTTTGGATCCAGGTTTTACACCTCTAAAGCAGTAGTGAATTTTCATTAATTCCTAATTTATCTGTATTGCCTAATAAAAGTTGTCATCTTCACAACAGTAGGATCTGTTTCTCCCTCTCTTTGTATTGGACCCAACTTTGTGAGATGTTGTTTGTAAGCAAATGAGATGTTATTGTAAATCAGGTTTGCAAAACTTGTAGTTGCTAATTTTCAGGGAATCCCTTCAGGTCATCAGTTTGGGACAGTACTGAAAGCTGGGCATCAGAGGCTTTCCACAATAGGTCATTGTAGCTATATTTTGCCACTGCTTTGCTTAAAACAAAGGCTAACCATTCTACAGCCCTGCAGCAGGAGGCAATTTGTTTTTCATGGAAAACCACAGCCTATTAGCAGTTGTGAGCACAAGCTATTGCCCATTACAGCCATTCTTAGAGGAGATGGCATGTGTACACACATGGAAAATTCTTCTGATTCACTTGGGCTACACAAATCAGGGAATGGCCATACTGAGATCGATATCATCCTTCTTTAAAAAATCTGCCGCTCAGCAGAAAGTCCGGCAGGAGTTATGCTGTAAAAATATTTTAGCAGAGATGTTCTTAAAGCACAGACATACCCTAAAACCACAAAGTAGGTATCAACAGTGGACAAATGTGAAGTTTGCAAACTGGAAAGAATTCAAGAAGTAACAGAGGAAACTTAGCACTCAAATAACCTTTTTTTTTGTTTTTTGTTTTTTTTTTAAAAGTATAAGCTTCTAATAAGAGGTGAGTGATTTAAGGGAGGCTCTGGGACAGTATTATGAGCTTAGTTTATTTTGCCATGACTGAAGTACAGCCTTGGAGATAGCTAAAAAAGCAGGTTACACAATTAGATTTGTAAATCTTCATCGAACTGGCACATGCATGGCAGGAACTGTTTCTGACCATAGGAGGAGATATGTATACATATAAAAGTCTAAAGTAAGCATGGCATTCAAATTAAGCTTCTTGATGAGGCAGGAGAAACAAAATTTTCAAAGTGTGAGAAATAGTCACCTCAGTTTTCTGATGAAGACTCATAAGAAAAATAATCTAGTTGCCTAGGAAAAGAAAGGTTTAACAAGTAGTTGTTTGAACTATGTAAGTGGGTACTGCATTATTTAATTTGCCATTTTAACTTTTGTATCACTCATTGAAACCAATATATTATAAGCCTAGGTTCTTTCCTAAAGAGAATATCTTTCAGTTCTTGCGAAGAAAAAACACTGCTTAGGAAATTACATTCCTTTCAAGGAAGATAATTTGGGGAATTAGAGAGATATTAACAGGCTTGTCAGATGTCCACGAAAAAAACTATGGATATTTAACTGAACAACTGTGTTCTCTACTCACTGTAGAAAATAGCA